TTGCACGTCAGTAATGGTCTAGGGTCCATTTGTATTGTTTATTCGATAAGCCAATAAAAACTGTAGACTTTTCTAAATGTATTTTTAATATCACAATTACATTCTGAATCGCTAGCCACGATATAAGGACTAAAATTATAAATAAAATAATAAAAACTTATTTGGTGAAATAAAATGTGTGGTGGATGTACCAGTACATACCTACAAAATATTCTTCAATTGCTTCAATATACTTTTAAAGAAAATTATAATTAAATATAGCTTTGTAAAGAAACGTACATAAAAATAACATAAAATCTTCTTTACTTTTTAAATGTTAAAACAATGCACTTAGTCAAATAGCTCCCTACGAGTGGCTAATGAATGGAATCGAAGACAGTTGCAAAGCAGACTGCCAAATCCCCAGGGTGCCGATACCGGTNAATATATTTCCGTTTCTCTCTTCTAATCTAACTTTCTTTTCCTTTTTCCTTTTCTTTTTAGATATAAGTAGGTTTAAGTTAGAAGTTAAGTATCTCTTTGTATCGCGAAAGTCTTGCTCGACTGTGAATCGAAAAAAGGTGTTGTTTGTTCGTTTGTTTGATGTAGGGACTCGGGAGGTCGAAATCAACAAGAACCTTTCCTGTATATGTTCACAGAAAATAATAAAGCACATCTTATTTGTTTTATATACCCGTTTCTTTGTGAAATCAACCCTCACCACGTGCTTATTACCACAGTGGAAAAAAAAAAAGGGAAAACATTTATAAGAAGCTACAAAGCAATTACCAAAAACTGGCAGATGCTTTCCTCAGTTATCTTCTAAATATGGAACTGATTCTGCAGAAAAGGTCTTTAAAAAAAAAAAAAAATTGAATCACACTCTCAGCTCCACTTGTTATCAGTAGAACCTGGTCCATTGACAGCAGCAACTGTTCAAACAGATTATTCAAAAATCAAAGCAAGAATGACTGGTAATTTAGATTTGGACTCAGAAACTGATTTAGACTTAATCTTCAATCTGAAGTATCCAGTAGTAATAAGACAACCCCAATAGATTTAGCATGTTATCTAAAAAATCTGAACAGTTAAGAAAAAGCATTCATTATATCTGAAGAAAGGACTATGTAGATTTTTTTGGCATTGATTCCCTTCAACTTGGATCAAGTGGAAAAAAGTTTTAATTTTTACCACCACTACCATCACCAAACTTTCAAAACTGAAATAACATTTGAGTGATTTTGGCTCTGCTACTTGTCCTTGTAAATCCATGGTATTGCCATCCTTGCTGGTTATTTGGAAAATTGATGAAAGTATAACAGAAAAAAGAAACTATTCTAATCTCAGCACCGGGGTGAAAGTAGGCCTGACAATCACTGTTGGATGCCAACCTGCAACTTCCCCCCTCCACTGCAAGACCGTGCATGTCGGAAAGGAACCACTTTGTCAAAATGACACCTGATCCCAATAAATAGAATACACTCCGTCCAGGGAATTCCAGTTGACCTGAAGAAGAGCAAAGAGATTGTTCAAAAACGTTCGTCAACAGCAGTATACAATATATACACGTCATGCACTGGTTACAGGTTCCGGATAGTGTAGTGTAGAAAGTATAACAGTGCTAGGATGAAAAATTCTCGGACTAGAAAAATTTTGAATGTGTTAACAGAGACCTAAACATCATCATCTTCTTGACTCCTGCCACACTTATGAGAAATGGCTTCAAAAGAAAACAGTGAACAAAGAAGTAGAAGACCAAATAAAACAACTGGTAGAATACTGGAGAAAACTTTTGAATCACACTATTAATGTCACATTAACTCTAGCATCATGCAATCTAGCAATTTGAGGCCACAAACAAAATTTGCTCAGTACAAACTAAGGCAACTTTTTGTCAGTCATAAAGTTATTAAGCAAGTACAGTCTGGTACTGGAAGACTTACTAAAAGTCCTAAAAATATTGTGAAATATCTAAGCTCATCCTGGAGATATAAAGATTCACATGGACTTCCTTACATTTGAGGAAGCAAAAGCAACAAAGAAATGGGATAAACAAATTTTTTGCATATTTTGAGAAAACAACCTAGATGAGAGAAAACACAGAGGATTTTGTTTTGACGAAGCTGCCAGTATTTCTGACATGAATTATGAAGTTGAAACAAAAATCAGGAACATCCAAAGCCTGGCAAGTTATATTCATTATGAAGCCCATATTTTAAACCTAGTCTTAAATGATTCTGTAAAAAACATCAAAGAAATATGAATGTTCTATGAGATGCTTGAAAAAATACACAAAAAATGGGCATCACTTAAATCAGAATGCTCCCAATCTATTTTCCTAAAGAGACTTTGCTCTATCAAATGACTGCATCAAAGTCCCTTGTTTCCTGTGCTTTGATGTATTGAAAATTTTGACTAACTGCAATGACTGGCTGATCATCAGAAGAGAAAAAAAGAGAGAAAGCAGCCAGTTTAAAAATAACTGATGTATTTAATGCCATTATTATGATTTTAGAGGCAAAGCATTGTCCAGTTAAAACCACATATTAAAGATATTACAGTCTCATAAGCAATAAGCTAGAAAAGCAGCAATGCTCCTTAAAAATCCTCTTGACAATGTGGAGAAGCTTTGATGAGGTTACTAAAGTCACTGCATAAATGTGCAATGATTGGAGAATTGAGTCTCACTTCAAGTTGAAGAGAGTACCAAGAGTAAAAAGATGTTTTGGTGAACTGATTCAAGACAAAAGAATAAGCTGTCAACTTGTCAACTACTTCTAAACTCAAGTTTCATAACCTGAAACCGTGTAAAGTGTTTAATAATATACTGGATATTATCACTATCCAGTCAAAAGAAAGTCCAGTTGACCAGCCTAAATGAGATTATCAAAATTTTAACATGTCTAACAATTTTGTGAATGTTGTTTCTTGGTACTTGACAGAAAATTTTAATAAAAGTAATAAAATATATAATAAATAATTTAAAACATATACATATATTTTAGGATCATACTTTACATCAAAATGTTACATGTTGTCTTACTCAGTATTTATGACTATTTTTATGATCAGTAAATATTAATTATGGAGGACATTATATTGCTTCATTGAAACTCACAATGTTTAGGACCTGATGAATCTGATGAGCATCATTTGCTACACCAATGAGTTCATGGTGAATACTGTAACACTTTTTCTGTATCATGATTCATTGATGCATTGTGGAATACTGGAATACTGCATAACTTATAGATACAAATTCACTGAGTTCAGTGTTACTGCATACTGGAATGTTCCAACAAGCCCAATTTAAATGAAAACAGGTATTCTGATTTCCGCTTAGTCCACAAGGAATTTGTTTGTATATTAGAACCAGTGGTAGTAATATATAAAAAGCTATTCTAAGATTTCCTATCTAGGTAGGGAAGAGGCTCACTCTTAACCATTTATCTCTGGACCTACTGTCCTGAAGTTATGCCATTAGTCTCCAGTGTAATGTAACAATTTGCTTGTCTAAGCTTTCTTATAAAGTTTGCTGATCATCATTGAATCATTTGCTCCATTGTTTGACTGTAGGTAAGAAAATGCAATGCTCTTCATCAACTGCTAACATCAAGAAATGAATTTTGTGCTATGCTGTGTAACCTCCTACTGTCAAAAATCTGACAACACCATACTCTTTCATGCACTGCCTGGAGTATACATGGCAATGCAGATCCTTCTTTGAACTGCTATCACAGATGTTCTACAGAATACAATTATACAAACCTCCCTTGAAAAGTTGCATCACAAATGACACTATCATACATACACACAACATATAACTTGAGAAAAACTATTCCCTAGTGAGGAGGGTGGCTTACTTTCATTTGACATGTTCGAATATTGAAAAAGTTCTATCAACACTGCTTTTAGATATAAAACAATACTGTTTTAGAATAAAATTTCTTAATTTCATATTGCAGAAAATATAACACTATCTATTAGTATCATTAATAGTAATAGTATTAATTAATAGTAGCTTATTTATAAATAGCAATATATTTACCTATAATTCCAAATTCAAATTTAAATAATATTATATATTAATTTATTACCCTATTACAGTAGAGCCTCGATTGGGCTCTACTGTAATAGGGTAATAAATTCCGTATTCCGACCCGATTGGGGTTGGTTGGATAATTGAAAAGTCGGATAACCAAAAAGTATGAAAAAATCCATTATTAGTGTAGTATATTATTATATCCTATGTAATTAGTATATCGCTATTAACCTACTTTGCGTTGAATTTTCATCGATGTTAAGCCTAACAAAAATTTTTTAAAATAATTGTTGCTATTGTATCGTTAAAAATTAGAAAATTAAGCCTCGTTTAAATACTGGCTCCCTTTCATGGTCGAATGAGTGTTGCCAGCTAAAACACGTAAAAATAATATTAAAGTAGCCAAGACATAGCCAAATATTGTAGCGCCACATCACTAGCGGACATTTGAAATTTGCCGACTAGGACGGTCGGTTAACCGAGGTGTCGGTTAATTGGGGGTCGGATATTCGAGGCTCTACTGTATTCTAAAATTACTCTTTATAATTTGATGATACATTAATATAGTTTAATTTAATGATCATATTTTAATATTAAATACATATTGTTGTAAATTATTATAATGTAACCAGCTGGTATTCTGTTTTTTGTTTTGATGTGAAAAAAAATAAAAAGAATGTTGGAACAATTGAAATTTGCCATTTTGTAAGCCTCTTAAATGTTTCTTTGAAAATAAACACACACTGTCTTTCCAATAAACATATAAATAATGGATTTGCTTGTTTGAGAAAGAAATCATAAAATGTTTAAATTTCAATTATATTACCTGGATGAAATTCAAATAAGGCAATTTAACTGAAACTTATTATTTTATTTGAAGAAAATAAAAATGATAATTAATTATTTTAAATCATACTGTATTAAATTTAAATAAGTGAAATGTATATAAAACAATATAATTCAAAAAGATTTTACATACTTTTTACTGAGATGTCTTGATACATCAGATTTCTTAAATCCTTCCAAATTATATAAACGCTTTGCCAAACGATATGCTGAGGGCATATCAACAGCTTTTGGACTATAATGAAAACTATGCAAACTTTCAATATCTGATTCATCATCTGTTGTAGTTGGAGATATGCTTTTTGTTGTTTCATCTTCAGCAGCAAAAGATTCTTCATCATGGCTTTCCATTAATTCTTCATATGGCACTTCATCTAAGGTGCTTTCTGATCCAAAAGAAGTTGGACTACCTAAACTGCAATCTAAGTGATCAGGCCATTGAAAATTTTCAATACATAATGTAAGACCCCCATTAGGTATTTCAGAATGTCTTCTATTATTTTCAACATGTGTTTGCGTAACACCATATTCATCACTAACAATAATATTTATACCTTCTGATACAGATTTCTTTATAGAAGGAACAGTTTCACATTTTACTGAAAACTGATCATTAATTTTATAATTATTTAAATTTGTTTTGTTTTCACAACTTTCAGATACATGTCCATTTTTTATAGATTCTTGATCAGAATCACTATCTGGTAACTGCTCTATTTCTTCACAACTGCTGATCGTGGACACCAAATCACTAGTACATTCACCTTCACTACTATCCTCTCTTTCCAAATCTTTTCTTATTGTTGTGGATTCTGATGTAATACTCCCTGAAACAGATGTTTTACTGTAATGTTCTGATCTCTCCTGATTGGAACGTGAACTACTACTTTTGCTGCTTTCAGGCTTTGAAGGAGAAATAATTTCTCCTGATGAAGATGACAAACTTTCTGGTGGAGGTGAAGGAGAAAGAGGTTTACAATCTTCACTATCTTCAGAGTTTCTTATAGAGGAACCACAGGTCCAGGTTACTCGATCAAAAACAGGATTATCCTGTTTGGTATCCAAAAGTGTATTTAAAGATGATGCCATTTCATCTTCAATATCAATGCTTACTGCAGTTAATGATGCTTTTTGTAAATGATCTTCACTCTTAGAAGTTCTAACATAGACACCACTGTAAGAAAAATGACCTTTTTTGTCACTTATGGGGCTATTAAAAGGAGATGTTTCACGTACTGCCCTAACACGTGATCTATGTTCAGATTCTTCAGGGCTAGCAGGAGTTGAACAATGACCAAAAGAAATGTTATGTACCCTATTATTTTTCAATAATACAGGTGAATGATGAGATGTTTTACCATTAAATTTGATAAAAAAATCTCCAGTCATCATGACTGTCTCAAATCTTTGTTGAGTCTGCCAGGTTTGAGGCTTTTCAGTTCTAATACTTCCAGACTCTGGACAACTTTGACGACGAACATTATACCTAGTGGAAGAGGGTAGTACATCATCATCATCATCTTTATTTTCATTGTTGCTAATTCTTGCTAATGAATGTTGATGGTCACCATCTGCCATAGCATGATGGTCACCATGATCAACGGAATGAACAGTTTCCATTTCACATTAAACCATTATATACTTTTGAATCTTTCCCTTGTCTTCTAACACTGAAATAATAAAATGAGCAATTATAAATATATATTTTTTAAATATATAATATATAATCAGATATAATAATATATATAATCAGATAATAATATTATTATAAACATATAATAAAAATCTCAGACTAAAAATTCAATTTCTTAAAACAGAGATAATAAAATAAAACTTTTAGCATGCATTTCCAAAATGTGTTCTAAAAGAAGTTTCAGTAATAGATACATAATCAAATGATTGCCTTAAATAATCAGGCTAAAAATCCACTATTTAATGATTAAATACTAAGTAATTTGTTACTAGAGATAGATGTTAGGTGCCAACTCTTATCTAAATTAATAATTATAATTTTAATAATTTATTAAATTATTTTAGAATCATCTGAAATAAAAATACTGGCCTGAGGCAGAACTTGAACCCACAACCTCTGCTTGCCATGCAGTATGCTTGCCAGTTGCACCACCCCAAGCAAGCCTTTGCTTCCATATGTATTTAAATTTAGATATAACCTTATGCAGTTAATCACAGTGCCAGCTGGAGATGACTCCTATGCCCACAGCCTAAGTACATCTCAAACATCTAAATTTAAAGTTATATTATATAATATATAATTTAAGGTAAGGTAATATCTAAATTTAAATACATATGGAAGTGAGGGCTTGCTTGGGGTCCAGGTGGCACAACTGGCAAGCAGAGGTTGCGGGTTCAAGCCCTGCCTAAAGGCCAGTTCTTTTATTCCAGATAATTCTAAAATTATTTAATAAATTATTAAAATTATAAGTATTAATTTAGATAAGAGATGGTGCATAACGTCCATCTCTAGTAACAAATTATTTAGTATTCAATTATTAAATAGCAGATTTATAGCCCGATTATTTAAGGCAATTGTTTGGTTATGTATCTATAATATATATATTTTGGGCTTCAGGATGTTTGATATACAGTGGGTGATCGGTTAACAAACAAATCAGATAATGAACACTTACGCAAAAGATTTTTATGATCGGATAATGAACACTTCACTGAACAAACATAAAAAAAGCGACAGAAATAACAAATACTAATTGATTTTCCCTTGTCTTCAGGTAACAATCAGACAGTTTCAGAGCGAGGGAGACATCGACATCAACGCTCAACCCAATATATACTGATCAGATAGTATTCCTTGAACTTTGAAATACTCCCTTGTAATTCCAGCCTTTTATTTTTCTGACAGAAACAATTCTTTTATAGTATTCATGAGACTGTCAGGTGGGCACTCGTTAAGTTTTGCATTGGTTTTTTATTTTCGAAAGGTGAGAGTATAATAGCAAAGTTATAGATTGGGCAGAAGATGTCTGATGTTGCTGGGCAGTATGGTTTGAACAAATCTACAGTAGGGCACAGTTCAATCTTATCTAAGAAAGATACAGTATAATCAAGAAGACTCAAGCAGCTAAAGGAGTAACAAAAATCACATCTGAGAAATAAAGAACATTGAAGAGCTCATAATGGATCTGACAACAAAAGAACACCAAGAACCCTTCAATGAAGAACACCAAGAAACTTGGCAAGATATGTTTTATTTTGAAAAAGAGGATTAATGCTGATATCTGCTATTAATTAAAGATCTTTTGAAGAAGTGGGGATGTCAGATCAATGGTCTTAGATAGGCATACAAACCAGGTTGAGGTTATCAGGCTTGGGGATCTCTACAATTACAATGCTATTAATTACTTCTGAAAATCCTGAAGAAGAGAGAAAAGCAATCAACATTAGACAGATTCTTTAACCCCTACAAACAAAAAAACATAACTAATAAATATGCAAGACTATGTATATATGTATTTTTATTATTACATATAAATAAACATAGTAAGAAAGTATATATTTTTTATTTTTGGAGTCTCCAGAACGAATTAATCAAATTCCCATAGAAACCTATGGTAAATTGATAATTGGATAATGAACAATTCAAATAGCTGTTGGAATGGATTATGTTCGTTAACCGATCACCTACTGTACTTATGTTTCAGTAATAGGTGTTAAGTCATGTCCCATGAAATTTATAATGATTTTCATAAATATCTTGTTTCCTAATAGTGGACATTCTGAATAATAGAAGTTTAATGTCTGTGTAAACATCAAATTTTATTTTCAATTTATTTATTTATTTATATTTTTTTACTCAAATTGACTTATTTTCTGTACTGTGAGCTCTTAAGGATTGTATCTGAAAACTATTCAAATATCTAACAGAAGCTTTTAGGAACAATGAGAATTTTTTTTGCAAGCAAATAGTTTTAAATTTTTGCATTTGAATACTCCCATCTTTAATTCAGATCATTTTGAATTAATTTGCATTAATCTTAATCTTAATAATAAAATTTTTATGTAGGATATGTTAAAAATCCTATATAAAAATTTTGATAAATTTTGATGATTTTCAAATAATGATTTTACTATAATAAATGAATGTAACTGTGACATTTACAGCATATGGTATAAACATTTATATGGTTTTTCTGGCAACATTTCAAACTGCGTGTGTCATACCATCTGTTATGATACTTTATTTTAAAAAGCTTTTTATATTTTTAATTATTATAAAATGGCAAAAAGCTTAATTTTGAGGGTAAGAATGGGTTTTTTAAAAAAAACTGTAAATGCTAATAATGAAGAAAATTGTCATTAAGTCAAACCCTACTTGAGATATAACACACGACTTTCCTTTATCTATCTCAACAACTTTTAGCCATCAAAATTTAATAGTATCAATCCTCCCCCTAATACACAAACCTTCCTGCAAAATTTCAGAAATTTTTGACAAAACGAACAGGAGTTATTAACACGTTAGCAGGTTATCCGACGCTCTGGAGGTCATATAATTAGGGCTGTACAGAGCCATATGACTGTCGGCGGTTGGAGCCAACTTTACAGATGTGCATGAGAGGTCACCACTAGGATGTAATACAATATCTTACAAAGCCAGGATAATTTAACCTTGAGTAAAACTACATTGGTTATAGTGACGTTGAGCAGTTGGATGGTTCTGTATGGCCCTAATAAGTACGATCACTGGCGCATCGGATAGATAGCAGTTAACGTGTTAAGCTTCAAAGATGGTAAACAAAATTGTGCCATAAACACACACACACACACACACACACACACACACACACACACATACAAAAAGCAATCCCCAAATTGTTTTACATTTCTTGATATTTCAAGATCCAGAGTCCAAAAATGTAAAAATCTTTGTGTGGGGGGGTCATTTTTTGACCAATCACCATACTTTTCCTCTGTTATATATGACAGAGCTGAAAAAGTAAAAAGTAATTTAGTACTGTGAAATTCCAGTTTACACAGATTTTACTGTATATTATTAAAAGGTTGTTCAAAAAGTTGTTTTTAAACAAGTTTAAGTATAACACCACAGATATCTTTAAAATCCAGTCCAGCATTTAATCAAATAACAAGAAATATATATACTGAAAATGTTTTCGATCCTAATCAGTTCTTGTTCAGGTCAAAATAAACAAATAAGTTTACATAATAGTTAAATGAGTACATGTAATATCAGATATTATCTGTGCTAATATACAGTAGAGCATCAATTATCCGACTCCCGATTAACCGACCGTTCTAGTTGGCAAATTTCAAATGTCCGCTAGTGATGTGGCATTACAATATTTGGCTATGTCTTGGCCACTTTAATATTATTTTTGTTAAATTTTTGCATGTTTTAGCTGGCATCAACGGCTCGACCATTGAAGGGAGGCCAATATTTAAACGAGACTTAATTTTCAAATTATGAGTGGTTGTTTGTTTCGTGAGCAATAAAATAATTTAAAAATAATTTTTAACAATACAATAGTGACGATTATTATTTTAAAAAAAATTTGTTAGGCTAAGCATCGATGAAAATTCAATGCGAAGTTGAATAATAGCGATATACTAATAAACTAATTACATGAGATATACTAATATCCTAATATACTATACTAATAATATATTTTTTTCCTTCTTTTCGGTTATCCGATTTTTCAGTTATCTGACCAACCTGAGTCCCCAATTGAGTCAGATAATCGATGCTCTACTGTATGTTCATAAATTTAATTGTACTTATGGTTAATAATATTTTTTTGTATCAATAAGATTCTTCATTTATGATACCATATTGCCTTGTACCCTCTCAATGGTGTCCCCACTTTGACATAGTGGAAGGGCTTGTGTTCCTAAATGATCCAGAGAGCTATACCAATGGTAGCTTGTCTACCAGTAAGGCCACCCAAGCTGGACAGGCCAAAGGTGATAGGAAAGACAAAAGGGATACCCTGGTCCTCCAGGATGGGATTTAATAATAGGCAGGCTCCCCATTGATAGTAAAACTAGAGAGCTGGATACAAAAAGCAATGAGAAACTATCATGCCTTACTTAACTCCTAGTCTAATTGAGAATTGAGAATGGCATTGGAACCTCAAATGAAGAAAGAATGAGTTCCTGATCCAGCAGGAGGAGAAGAGGGGCTCCTTAGGATGTCAGCTTGCAAAATCCCCTTGATTTTAAGCTTAATTTTAATCATAATACAAAGGAAGGTATTTTGAGAGTGGGTAATTGAATATAAAATGTTTAAGATGACCAGGCAAGCTGCATAATTCTAAAGAAAGAAATGGAAGTAAATAAACTGAATATAGTTGGCTTGAGTGAAAGAGATGGGAAGACTGTGGAGAAATGATAAATGATGACATTTGTTTGATGCATTCAGGAGGAGAGGTTGCTCATTATGGTGTAGCAATAGCAATATATAAGAAAATACGAAATAGTGTATGTAAAATCTGACTACATAAGTGACAGACTGATGATGATGATGATGATGTGAGACCTTCACCCCCCTGCAATGGGGAAACTGGCAGTCGACCTAAACCAATAAATCAGTGACTTATTTCGTAAACAGGACCAGGGCGTTAATGAACGGGGTGTGAGACTATTTAATTGTTGCATTCCCGGACCAAACTGACATGTC